GATTTTGTGCCTGTTACATTTATGCCTCCTGCTGACTACAATCTCTTTGTTGAGGAATTCAGGAAAAATCCCTCCAGCACTTGGATTATGAAACCTTGCGGGAAAGCTCAGGGAAAAGGGATATTTCTTATCAATAAACTCTCTCAAATTAAAAAGTGGTCTCGAGACAGCAAAACATCTTCGTAAGTGCTGCAGAAAAAAGTAAACTGTGTATTGTGCTTTCTGTAACCAGATACATTTCACCAACATGCCAATTGTTTATGCGTGGGAAAAGTATTCCATTTATCCCTATATCATTAGTAGTTACTTTTACATTTGGTCTCCGATATTGGACTTCCTCCTTCAAACATGTCTTAATGTAATTCTTGTGCAGAAGGTACAAACAGCTGTTCAATTAACTATGCTCTATAAATATGCTTTTAATGTTGTAGGGGAAAAATGGACAAAAATAAAATGTTCTGCTTCGTGATACTAAATAACAGGAAGTAAGAGAAAAATCTTCCCCTGGGCAATTTGAATCATGATTTTATTTAATATGTGTTAATTTGCTTTTTAAATTAGTATAATGAAATGATGTGCTTATATGAAGAGTATATGTTATCGGTTTGGAGCAGAAAGCAATATACCTCATACTGATGATCTGCTTACAAGTGGTGAAACAGGCTCACTATTTATGTTTCCTCTGACTAGTAGAATCTTGCTCACACAAGCGATAATATTTTTTCTTCTGTCATGAAGCGGCTGACTGAATTTCAGCTGAGTCATTTTCTGTTTATCTTGGAATCTGAAGACTCACAATCCAAAAGTTATCTTTTCAGTGGTTTACAGTTGCACACCAAACATAAATACAAAAATTCTAGGAGTATAAGACCTTGACCTAAAAGGTAGTATAATAGTAGGTGTGCTTGGTGCTCATCTGAACCATGAGAAGATGTAGGGACTCTCGAAGCAAAGTTTAGCATGTCAAACAGACTTTGGATTGATTCTCTTGACTACAGCTTTAACTTCAGATCTGTGTTTCAATGGGTAATCTTGGTCATCTGCTTCATCTTAGAATTTTTGCCACATAAGCCTGATGCCAACTGTATATTATTAAGCAGTATAACTTTATGCACTGTGGTGGCAATACGGTTTAATATTTCTGCAAGTCCAAAACTTAAACTGCTTCTATAGAATAAAAAACTAGCAGAGCATTGTAATTGTCACATTCTGAAACATAATGTATGTTTTTCAGATTTGTATCTCAGTCTTCCAAAGAAGCTTACGTGATTTCTCTCTATATCAACAACCCATTGTTGATCGGTGGAAAGAAATTTGACCTTCGTCTCTATGTTTTGGTATCTACATACCGTCCACTGAGGTGTTATATGTAAGACTACATATTTGTATTTTGCTATGAGTGCATGTTTACGTAGTCAAAATAATTTTGCCTATGTTGCACAAAGAAATTTAACATGCACTTGATGTCCTAATGTGCTTTCTTCCTTACCTCCTGTTGGCATTTAACATTTTAATTACCTTTTGCATTTAAGGTATAAACTTGGATTTTGTCGGTTTTGTACAGTGAAATATACACCAAGTACAAGTGAACTGGATAACATGTTTGTTCATCTTACAAATGTTGCCATTCAGAAGCATGGGGTAAGTGTGCTGAGTTTTTAGTGTCTCTTTTATAGCCAGACTGACTTTTTAAATAGTCCAAAACTTTTGGAATAAAAAGACTCAGTTGTTATACTTTTTATCATCCCTCAAGCAAAACGCTTCAATTTGGCTTTGCAAATAAATAAAACAAAATTTTGTACGGTTGCAGATCATAGGTATGCCAGATACTAAATGAGATTCAGCACTACAATGGAACGTAGTTTCTTCAGTATTGGCCTGCGGGAATTGAAAGCAGTATTTTTTCAAGTCTGCTATCATTAAAATGTTAATATGACACTTAGTGATTGGTTCTGGGAGTCATGGAATTAATGAAGCCGGGTTCCTGTGCTTTTATATTTTACAATGGCACTGAAATATCTCCTGCCTGATCTCTCTGCCCTCCTTCTTTCCGATGTAGTTAATTCAACTTTCCTATTTCCAGCACTTAAACAGCAACTTCCAGCTCCTTCCTGTGCCCCCTTCCTTATCTGTCTCTGTAGGAGAGGCGACGTGCAGTTGTGAGCACCGAGGTAAATGGTTGCTGCTGGCCAGCTGGTGGCTTCCACTTGTGTGGGCCAAAGCAGTTTGCTGCCTGCCTTTCTCTTAGAGGTTTTGTTTTTATTTCCTGCAACTCGTCATGCTGCTCCTAAATTGTGTAGAAATCTAATAGCTCTAAGGGGTAAGAGGTGCCATGAACCGATGGGCGCCCAGTACCCTTAAAAATACATTATCATTAACAGGTGTCCATTATTTATAAACAGTGCCTCAGTTACAGTAATTAATATTCTCTCAATTTGCACTAATCATGTTATCTTTTATACTGGATGCTCTTAAAAGAAAAGAGAATATATAGATGAAATTACAAGCTTGTTAGATGTGCCTTGTCTGGTTTCGCTCTGTAACACATGCAGCACAGCAGAGCTGCCTTCACCTGGGCAGTGCAAATCTTAAATGTCACTTACTATGGTGATTATAAACCAGAATAAATGTCAAAATATGACATTTATCAGTACTGCATATGCCTTCTTAGCTAGGTACCAATTTGTGAAGTGTTTCAGGCATGTTATGATTTGACAGGGCCCAGGAGAATTAACTCTGGAGAAAACCGGTCCCTTGTACTTAGAGCATAAACAGTGGTGCTTTTGCCAGTGGCTAGAGCAGGCTAGGCATAGTAGGAAAAATGTATGTATTCATGGTAATATCTGTGCTGCAGAATTCGGTTTTGAATTATTTTCTTCTGTATGTGTGTCTATAATACAAACAAAACAACAGTTTCTATTTATTTGTTCATCTTCAGTTAGTCATCTTCCATGGAGATATTTCCCTTTGTTTTGAAATTTTTAATTAAATAGCTGTTATTACGCAAAGCTTTATGCAGTTGCAGTCTATTTTGATTTGAATACTTGTTCTCAAAGGCAAAGAGGGTTGAAACTCTGATTCCTGTCCCCTGGCTGAAATCTGTGGTCTTAAGACATTTCTTTTTTTTTCCATGGAGCAAGTCCTGAAATTCATGTCTCAGATTTGTTCAGTCTTTCAAATTTACTACAGAGGAGACTGTAGAAAAGGCCTGTAAATATAGAGAGTTTTCTGAATTTGTTTCAGAAGAGAAAGATTCATTCCTCAGAGAACTTTTGAACTTTTTTTTTTTTTTTTCCTAGGCTTCTTGTTTTTTATAATTTAGCAGCCATATACTTGGTAATTCTTAGAAATGCTCCCAGGAGCATTTTTATACAGGGATCAAGCATATGTCCCAAGAGCTATGTGAGGGCTCAATGGGTATGTCTTATCATCAGTGACACTTCTCTCTGATTTTCTGATTTTTTTTTCCATTTAAAGACAATATATTGCAGGAATTTTTTCCTGCCATTCTATTCCAGTACTACTTAATGATTTTTCTAGATTATTCTCTTACTACATGAAAAATTAACCTTCAAAAATAATCCAGGTTTCATGTTGCTGTTTTCATGAATGTAACTTGTTAGTAGTGCCATTAAAAAGATGCCATGTTTGTCTTTTACTTTCAGAAACAGACAGGTTCCATTTTACATGCATAACCACAGACGAGCACTTTTCAAATGCTGTGTTTTTAAAAAGTTAACTTCAGAGAAACTTAGCTATTGTTGAATGAACTACTTCTCCCTTATCCCCAATGGAGGCAAAAGCCAAATTATTTCCTTTTCCATTTTAAAATTTAGATTTCCCAGTTGTATTTTACTAGGAAGTTGAAAGACTACTTCTTAATTTATTCTATTTTAAGGAAAGATTTATTATTTGATTTGCTATAAGTGATATAAATATATATAGCAGTAATAAAAATGGTTGTTTATATAGAGGGCAGTTGAAAGTAAAGCTGGGCCTTTGTGAATCTGTGAAATAGAGAAAAAGCAGTTTGCTGAGTTTTACTTTTAAAGCCATACTTACATGTAAGTATAAGTGGCCTGCTTATGCGAATGAAGGCAAAACTGCTGAGCAAATTTTAAATCTCTAGGACTGAATTAACTTCTTAATTCTTCAGGATGATTACAATCATATCCATGGAGGCAAGTGGACAGTGAGCAACCTGCGTCTGTACCTGGAAAGCACCCGTGGAAAGGAAGTCACCAACAAATTATTTGATGAAATTCACTGGATAATTGTGCAGTCACTGAAGGCTGTAGCCGTGAGTAGTTTCTGGAACGCTGCCAGCAATAGCATTATGGCTGCAGGCTGTTCACAAGCGCGAGAGTGAGGTTGCCTTTATTTAGAATAAACCTCCCCAAATAAAGTCTGTTTCCTGCTGTTTGAGCACTGGTGTGGATGGCTTCTGCGGTTGTGCGCTCCCTTGATCTCCCCGAGCGAGGTGAACTTGAATCTTGGGTGGGTGAGCAAGCTATCTGAACATATTAAAGTGAATAAATCTCTTGAGGGCTTTGTGAACCATTTAATATGACTTGATTCTGCCTTTGTGAATAGTGTTAAGTTCTGCCAAGGTTCATGACGTCATTTCAGCAATAACAAATGTGTCAAAGAAAAAAATAGCTCTGGAGGGCAATTTATCAAGCAAAATGTAAGCGTATTAGTTCAGCAGAGTTACATAACTCTACTTTCAGCTTTTTTATATGCAACTCATGTAGCTATCAGGAATTTTTACTTTAAAAAAAATGTAGCAATCCATCCTCTCTCCTTGAGTAACTTTCCAGTGTTTAGGCAATATCCCATGCTTCAATAGAGAGCAGGTACTACTCCATGGATTAGCTGGGGTGAGCAAAGACCTTACTGCCCTCCAAAGGGGTTTTCCTATTCCCAGGTTCGTAGACCTGTCATCTCCTGGAACCTTCATGAGTTGTCAGCTAAGCTTATCTAACTGAAAACTACTTTTTTATTTCTTTTTTTTTTTCCTTTTTTTTTTTCCCCTGGATTAATGAGTTTTTGCCAGTTTAATGGATGGAATGACCTCACTTGAATGTTCGGGAGGACGAGAGAAGCCAGAGTCCATGGGAGCTGGGGAAGCTCAGCCTCTGCTGTGCAATTGAACTTGAAACCAGACATGAGAGAGCAAGGGAGTTAATCTAAATGTTAGCAGAACCTGAAAAGAGAAGAAGAAAAAGTATTGAGAGTATAGAGGAGGAAATGTTTTGATCAGCTTCAGTACTTCTCTGTCTTTCTGAGAAGGGCAAATGTAATGAGAGATCCTCCTCCTTTGTTCCCCTCCGGCACTCTCTGAAGAACTGAGAAGCTTTTATTTTTAGCCCAGGGAAAGCCCTCTCATAAACCTGTTACAAAGGTTTCTTTAAAAGATGTGATGAGATGTAGAGGAAAAATCTTGGTGCTCGTACTTCCAGTCCTTAGTAGATGCTGTTGGAAAAGCATCGATTCTCTGCAGAATGAGCATCTAGGCACAACTTGCTGTGTTTTGGCTTTCAGCATCATAGTTGACTTGAGCTATTTATAATTTTAAAATGTATCTGGTAATTGCGTGACCTCAAACTCCTGCATAGTTACAGCATTGTAATGAAAGAAATGTCTTTGAGTAAGTCTCCTTTATGCTCAGGTTTAAAGAACTCAAGATTTATGTGAAGCTGTGTTATGTAAACTTCAAAACTTCCTGATTTATCCTGTTACATGAAGGCTTTAAATACTCTTACTACCTCTGCAGAATATGAAAACACTTACTTTACAGCTGGAAATATGATGGAAAATTAACCTAATTTAGTGCTTGGCATTAATGCAATCATTAATATTATAATATTCACTCATAGCTTGGACAGAGGGGAAAAAAAAACAAACAAAAAGACAATCCTGAGCATGCTAGGAAACTTATGTTGGAGTTATAACATTGACAGCTGTTACAGAAGATTCATGATCTAATTACATGTAATTTTAGGCAAAGATAAGCATGTAATCAGATTATTTACCAAATTGTTGATTTTGATATCTCTTCTCTTGTTTTAGCCTGTAATGAATAATGACAAACACTGCTTTGAGTGTTACGGATATGACATTATCATTGATGACAAGCTTAAACCGTGGCTAATTGAGGTAAAGTTGCAGAAAATACAGAAATAGTTTCCTCCTCATCTTCTTTCCCAGAGTAAAATTAAGTAGGTTTCAATGCAGTCATTTTGTCTTTTGAAAATAAAAATGTCTTTTATTGTTCAGGTAAATGGATTAGGAATGATGTTAAAGTAAAATGTTCTGTGTAATGACCAAGTGAACAGATACTTTTGTTTTCTGTTTCTTTGATTTTTTTTTGTGGGCTTTTGTTTTGTCTTTTAGATCTAGTGTGTCCATCTAATTGGACTTCAGAGGCTGCCTGAATGTTCACAGCCTGATCTGATACTGTGTCAGCAGCTGGAGAACTGTCATAGGTCCAGTGGAGCATAACGTGGAGCTTGTTAAAACGTAGGGGCTGTTATGGCTTTAGTATTGCAGGTTGAGAGGAAGGAGAGAAGAGGCATGCACAGGGTAATGGGGATGCTTGGAAGGCTTCGTATCTGCATACATTTCTCAGTGTATTAATGTTGGATCTGTATGTTCAACATAATTTTTATCCAGCTCTCTTCTTCCTTTATCTTATCCCCAAAGATCAAAGGTAAGCAGACCTTTAAAAAAAATCTGTTTGTTGTTCTAATACCACCACTTAGTAATAAATATGGAACACAAGGGGTATGTTAAATGAACGTTGTTTTGAGATTTAATTACCAACTTAAGCACTTTGAAGAGAGGGAGTGTGTTTTTCCTCTGGCTCACAATTTAACAGTGGAGAACTGGGATTAAGGACATAAATAAGAGCTGTTTACCTCCTGCAGATTTTTATATGTAACAACTGTCAGAGTCACCCAGACAAAGTACAAGCATTTAAATTTATGACTTTGCTATCCATGTAAGCTTAGAAAATAAAACAAAAATCCTTGGCTTGCCAGATTAGCTGAAATGAATCTCATCTCAACAGAAATCCAGGCTGACACTGCAGTCACGTAGCTGTGTTGTTTCATTTTGAAGTAAAAAGAAAAATGCCCAAGGGGGGATTCCTTCCAATGTTTGTGGAAGTGAAAGATGTGCTTTGAGATGCTGATTTCCCAAAGAGTACATATTGTTATTACACATGCTGCCTGGAGAACTATAAACCACTCAAAAATATTGATGCTGACTTTTTTTTTTCTTTTATAGGTCAATGCTTCCCCTTCTCTTACTTCCAGTACTGCTAATGATCGTATCCTGAAGTACAATCTCATTAACGACACACTGAACATTGCTGTGCCTAATGGGGAAATTCCAGACTGTAAATGGAATAAATCTCCACCAAAAGAGGTTCTCGGCAATTATGAAGTCTTGTAAGTTTTTATCAGTCTTCTTCTATGTAAATGCAACTGTCCTTCATTTGCCCTGCTTTTTTTTTAATGTAATTCAGAGCACAGAGGTAAGATGGATTGGTTGGGGAAAAAAGGGACACAAAGACACCACTTCACCTTTTGGGGGGCTGCATAGCAACTTTGAAGGTATCAGTCTGCATCAGTGCAGGGCTGCCTCACCTCACCCCCCAGGGATGTTACTTGTCTCGTAAACCCCTGCACTTACTGAGCTTCTTGCAGCTTCTTGCAGCTAGGTTAGAGGTGCAAAAGCAAGAAGAGTGTCTTTTATATATGTAGAAATTTCATTAAGTGGAGTGGAATACGGAGATTGTAGTTAAATAGATAAACAGATAAAAAAATGTGTCAAATAGCTGTAACTTCTCAATCTGTAAAAATGATGCCACTTGGCTTTTGTAATTCACAGATGACAGAGTTGTCAGATACTTTTAAACTATTCCAAAGTGTTTCACAAAGGAAGAAATCAAGAATATGGATCACTTCAGGCACTAGAGTGCCTGATAGCTCTTGGAAGGATTGGTTTTAGGCAGCTTTTGAGTACCAATCATACAATAAAGCAGTATCAATAATACAATAGATACCAATAATACCAACAAAGCAGTTTTAAAACTGCTTTTTAAATAACACGCTGATTATCCAGTTTCTAATATTACCTGGAAAAATACCCAGATAGATCTGAAGCACTTGTCCAGTACGCTGGAAATGCCCTGTGTACCTAGCTGGTCATATCAGCTAGTTCATGTCAGTCTTAAGACATTTACATGTGCTTAACTGTCTTTGCTAATATAACTGTTGGCAGAATTATGATTTAAATGTTAATGGATGTTATGTACATGGAAGCTGTGAATACCTATACAACAGTGTGACTAGGTGTATATATTATGACTCTTCTTCAAGTTATTGTAGTATTATCTTTTAATAATTACATTAATGCATCTGGAGTCAGTTTCTGCTTGGGGTTTGGATAGCAACTGAGAGGTAAGTATATATTAAGGTTACCTAAGGCCAAAATTAGTTCATATATTTGAAGAACTACTTGTCACTGTGTTGTCAAGTGTTACAAAATACGTATTATCAAATACGTTCGACTTCAACACTCAATTGTGTGTTCAGCCCATTAATTCTCTGCTTGCTCAGTGATGCAATAGTGGAGTTTTTTAACACTGTAGCCAGCAATCCTCTGTTTGCTCGCAGTTTACTGAAGTCTGGAGCTGTTGCTTCA